TCCATTTAATTATCCAGTTGGCACATGCCCTCTCTTTCCTCTTCTCTTCTTTCCCATTCAATTCCGTCCCCCGCTCTCTTTCAAAATAATATTAGGTGTTGAATTTATGAATTTACATAACTAAATGGCCGGAAGAGAATCTACATGTAAAAGTTTTTTTAAGGCAGTCAAGACTCGAGACTGAAGAGCTGCTTCTTCTTTGCTTTGGTTCTGAGGCCCTTCTATTTTGTTTACCGGAAATGGATGTCTGAGACTGAGCCAACAGTGAAGCTGAAGCTATGGTTTGCCTTCTTGTTCGGAAACACATGAAATGCTCAGACGCCAAGAAGGCAATGCTTTATCCGTTGGCTTGTTGGGTGTGCTCCACCATATATATACTCACAAACAAATAGGTAATACCAACCAGATTCAATCTTCATTTGTTCTCTTCTGTCGCGTACGTTCCACCGCCCACATGCTTCCTGAACCACCCTGCCTTCCAAATAGTGATTCTAACCTCTGTGATTACCAGTAAAACGTTCAGCACTACTCGCAAAAGTATCCATTACGGCACGTCTAACTGTTTGTTTAAGGTCAAAAACACGACTTTGTCTCTCTAGCCTTTCTTTCTCTGTCTCTTCTCTCTTGAAGAACGATCGGGCAGGCAGTAATGGGGCCTGATTAAAAGTGACAAATTTTTTTTTCGTTTGCAAAGAGAACTTGAGTCCGTATTGCAAGTTTGCACTTTCTGTAACTTTGTAGTTTATACTTCATTGGGTCTTGTAACATACAAGTCACTCTAAATTACATTACCAGAACAAAGAAAGTTAGTTAGTTGTCCTTGTTAAATTAATTTTTAAATTAAATAAATCTTCATCTTTTAACACCATCAATTTCAAATTTTTCCTTCATATCCTCTTTAATAAAGGGCATTTTTTAATGGGGAAAAAACATTAATTAAATAATCCAAAAACTCAAACAAAATTGCTTATATTTACAGCCATTAATTTCTTCTGGAAGCTAACCTGTATCTAAAACTGGAAGGAATATTAGCCCTGGAAGTGAATCCTGGGCTCAGCAGTTTGAAACCCTCTACCCCCAAATGACAAGAACAAAAATGAAGGACTTTTGATGCCGCGCTATGGCTTTAAAGTTTCAACCACGTTTTATTTCAACACATACAACGACTAATGTAACGTGTGAACAGGGTAAATCTATAGACCATAATCTAGAGATGATCGTGTTTTTTTTTTTTCCCCTCTTTGGTTGTCTTCGATCAAGCAACATCTAACTATAACGGACTGGAATGATATTTACCTCATTTCACTCTAAAACCCTTTTAATGACGTTCATCAATGAAATTACCCATCGATCTCGTCATTCAGAAATCGTGCCTTGCAAAAATTTTTGAGGCTCCCAATTGATGAACGGAATCTATCTAGTAATTTCGTTCATATATTAATATTGATTTAATGGCTGCAAAAGGTGAACACAACCCCAGCAATATAAAGCCGTGTGGGGCTGAGATGCAGCGTCCTTTACAATGTCCAGTTCCCCACCGCACCAGTACGACATGCCTTTGACGTTGAGGCTATTCCTTCGTTTCTAAATTTGGACAACATTTACATCCAGCATGACGTGTGCTATTGTTAAATTTTGAGGAGTGGAATCAAAAAGTTTAGATCAGGGATGATGAAAATAAAATATTATCTAAATACATAAACGACTACTTTGTTATGTTATAATTTTTTTAAAGTTTTTAAATACCTCTTTTACGTTAATAATTTTATATTAAATAATTAAATTATCCTTTATCTACAATAAAAAAAACAAGTTCACATAATAAACTGTGATTTTTTATTTATTTTTTAAAATTTATAAAATAAAAATTGTGATCGTTTAAATAAAAATTACAACTAATTATTTTTAAAATTTAGACTCCAACTATAAGAAAAATTTTATATGAAAAATTGTGATTTCTTGTTTAGTCCTTACAATTAACATGAAAAAAGTTGTGATTGTTTAAACAAAAATTATTATTGATTATTTCAGAATTCAAATTTTAATAATAAAAAAATTTATGTAAGAAATTATGATTTCTTATTTAATTTTTACAGTTTACATATTTAAAATTGTAATTGTATCAGATTATTTTCAAAACTTATTTATTAATCATAAAAAAATCACCTGAAAGTTACTACCTCTATTCAAAAATATAAAGTATTTTGTGAGGATTTAAATGTTTAAAAATATAAGATATTTTTAATATTTTGAAAAGTAATCATTATTTTTTTTAAAATTATTCCTATTAATAATAATTTTATATTTATTGTAGGGTATTTAATAGAAATAAATATAAAAAATAAAATTAATTAAAAAGTAAATAATTATTTTATTAAAAAATAAAAATTAATTAAAAATATTTTATATTTTTAAATAAAAAGAGTATATAAGTTATAGCAAGTGAAATACCTCGCCACTATTCAACTAACGCAGCCACCTCAAAAGAATGCAGTTTCGTGACCATGTTTTAATAAAATGAGTTAGTTAGTTGTCAGAAAATAGTCGAAGACCTTGCAGTGAAGAAGTACCCGTGTACCTTATCAGTTTCGAGAGCATGTTACTCTTCGAACATCTACAGCAACCGAAACAGGTGTTAGCATGCAAGTGTTAACTTTTCAAAGCATAATAAAGCAGGGAAGGGTGAACGTGAAATAATGTTTATGCAGCAGCGACCAGAGAAAATTGAACGCTTTGAACCAATTACAGTTTCATACAAAAAAAAAGGGTCAGGAGAGACGAAATTGTAAATCAATGCCTACGTCAAAATAATAGCAAAAGGAAAATGCTACCTGCACAATGTTCCTGTTCAAACACAATTGAAAATTTCTTGACTCCTTTGAGCATCAATCAATGAGCTCTATGTTTAGATTCCACACGCATAGCATAACAATGAACTCTAGCCAAGTTAGCAAGGACTCTTTGGATCTTCTCTACAAATTATTTTTATAAACTTTATTAATATTAATATAAAAAATAAGTATATAAAATTTTAAATATGTCTCTGTATAACAAATTTAAAAAAATAATACTCCATCATTATTTTCTATCTTTCATAAAAAATAATTTATAAATAAGATTTGATGTAGAGGCGTAGGAAGTGATGCCTCAATCATTATAAGGTGATGCAATTTGGATCATCTAGATTTTTATCTGGGTGGTCTAGATTTAAAGAAATAATTGAATATTTTTATTTTATATTTTTTAAAAATAAAAATTATAAAAAGTTCTAATAAATATTTTTTGACTAATCTAATCCATATTCAATTTGAAAGGTCTAATTTAATATTAAAAGTTTTATATTTTTATATATTAATTATTTAGCTGTATTAAATTTTTAACTCAGAATTTAAAAAAATTTAAAGAGTTATAATTAAAATATTATACATTTTATTTTTTAATTTTGTATTCATCAAAATAAAAAATAAAAACTTAAAATTTGGATCTTACATATAAACATTTAACATCGAATATGGGATTATCTAGAATACATATAGATAGTCAATTTAAAAGATTATAATATTAAATTAGATTATCTAAATTATATCAGTATTATTCAGATTGATGATAAACCTATTTATGAAAAAAATTTAAATTTTTATTTTAATAAATTTAATTTTAATTTTAAATTAAAAATTAACAAAATCTGGGCCATCCAAATTAAATCTAGATGACCCAGATTTTTTTTTATATATAGATTAGCACCTCAGTGCTCAGCAACTTGCGGAGCACCTTACCGAAGACGGACCCTTACAAGCAGCATGACAAAATTACGCTGGTTGTGCCCCCATGTTCAAATAAGGTACAGTTGTTTGGTCTCATGTTGCAGCTCACCCAAGATGCAATGCATATTATAATCTGAGCCAAACCGTTCACTTGAACTGTAATTTGTCACCTGTAATTTTGTACTATGAGACAAGAATATAGAGCACATTTGACTCATATTCTGCAAACAACCTTCAGGCAATGACACTAATAAGTAAACCAATTTCAAAGTTTCCCTTTGAATTCAACCTTCTTTCCCTAACTACAATCCGTGCATCCCTAAAGGGAGATAAAAGCTTGTCCCTGGCAAACCTAAAACACTTCTCCTTCGCAATGACAAATCAGCTTTCCATTTCATGCTCTTTGCATTGCTTTCATTCCTTTAAATCAGTAGGTTTGGCACCCGTCACGGCCTTCAACAGCGGAGGCTTGCACTTGTTGGAAGTGCTGATAGCACACCTAATCTTGGCACCCTCTTAACATTGCAGGATGATTTTATGCTCGCAAGCTCTATATGAAGAAATCCAAGCTTGCGAGTCTCCAAATGCTAGTAAAAAGGGATCGGGGCGGTGGGTCATTGGATGAACTGGTCAGTAACGATCCTCGTAACAAGGGGATCGACCTGTCGAAGTTTATCACAGTTGATGAACAAGAGTGGTCGTCTAGATTATCAGTTTGCGGGTGTATCAATTCCGAGCATTTGGGAATTTTAGGGATTGGATAAAACGATATGATGTCAATCAAGAAAATAAAATGACAGTAGGTTCTCAAATAAGATTGTGTCGAAAAGAAACTTTCAAATTCAAAGTTTAGCGATAATTCAGATCTCTTGATGCTTGGTCGTGCCAAGTGCTATTACGCTATGGCCGCCGCTTAGCCACCTCAATGTTTCTAAATCAAGGCGTGGGACTAGGAACCACCTCCTGGGCACGTGAGAACACCCGAGGTGATGCTGAGATGTAAATTGGGATGAAAAATAATAAGTTAAGTTAGATAATTATACGACATTTATAATGCATGATTTTTAAAATATAAACTTCTCAACTTGAAAATTTGATTAGAATTTAAAAAAAAAACTCAAATTAAATAAGTGATTGATGATATCTGATCATTAATAGAGTACAATATAGTATTTAGGCCCGTAAGTCAGGGTTGGGGTAATCCATATGAGCAAGGCTTTTGGATTGAAAAAAATATTTAACGATTTAGGAACGTTAGAAATTAACAAATTAATAATATCAAGTCACGTAACAGTAAAATGAAGTATTTACATAATATGTTGATGGGGCTTTTTTTTCCCAGCCAACATAAGTTTATTTTGGGTAATGCACAATGATTGAGATCAGTTGGCCATCATCATGCTTGCAAATTCTTCATAGCTAACCTGACCATCCCCATCCAAATCTGCCTCTTTAATCATCTGTTCTGCCTCTTCATCCGTCAACCTCTCTCCCAAATTCATCATTACGTTTCTCAGCTGTGAAACATCCAGAAATTAACTCCCTTTAATTTAGTCCTTAGTGTTACACATGGAGATGATTAAACGAGCAACTGTTAAGCCGTGCTTACCTCGGTAACAGAAATATATCCATCTCCATCTCTGTCAAATACTTTAAAGGCTTCTTTTAGTTCCTCAGACAGATTTTCCTGTTGGAACTCACAACAACCTCATCAGCCTCAGCCAGTCAACCTTCTTAAGTGCAAGCAAATAGCTAGTTGTAGACCTTACCTTCATTTTCCTGCTCATAATTGTCAAGAACTCCTCAAAATCTATGCTCCCATTGCCATCAATATCCACTTCGCTGATCATTTCTCGAATTTCTTCTTTAGTGGGATTTCCATCTAGTGATTGCACAATGGTGGCCAGCTCATCCACTGTAATAAATCCTAGACATCACCAACAAATTCAAATCAGCAAAACAAGTTGTGTTCTTTCAAGCCGTTAGAAGAAAAGGGGAAAAGAACACACCATCTGAGTCCCTGTCAATGAGGCTAAAGGCTTCCCGGAAATCAGCAACCTGATCCTCTGTGAGTGGATCTGTCATCATCATTTATTCTGGCGCGGAGGAAACAGAAAATTAATAACTTGCTACTTGGCTTCTTGCTCGGACAGAAAGAAAGAAGAGGAAGGAGGAGAAATTTGGTGTATAGTCTTGTGGAGCTTGGCTCGTTGGCTTTCTTATATAGGCACACAAGCGGGGCAAAACTTGTATTTCAAGGTAGTCAAGAGAAGCAGGAGGCAGAAATTATTCCAATTCAAAAGCAGGAACTTTTCCACAACCACAAAGCGTCACCGATTAGCTATTGAACAAGGAAAACTTCAATCCGACATTTTGGTCTGGCCCCGCCATTTATTGTCAAAAATCAATGGAACTGTGACTTTCAGCTTCACCACCCTCCACGTGCAATGTAATCGATCACCGGCTGCGCCTCCAACTCCAAGAAATTGCATATGCTTACCTTATTACCATGGTACTCTTAAATTAACAAGTGTATAGACTCATGAATGATAGTATGAACATGTAGTTACAACCTCAAAGCCACGAGGCTAAGCGTGTTGAATGTTTTTAGATGACAGCATCAAGCTTTGACTAGAGATTTTACTTTCCTGGAAAGATGCCGTATTATACAAGACTAACTTAGATTTATGTTGTGTGGGGTCGTTAAACTACCAAACGTTCCACTTAATTCTTGTATTTTGCATTTTTTAGTCGTGGAGAAGAAACCAAGAAAATAATATTTGGAAAATATTACGCATTGATTTTACATGCAATGCGCACACTATTAAAATATAAAAAAAGTTACACATTTAAATATTAAAAGATGGATTATGAATATATAAACTTAGGAAGTATCCAACTCAATGATTTAAGCTATTTTGATAGAGTATACTATCATCAAGTATATTTAATATAAAAAATCTAACATGATATTAAAATCATTCAATTGGGAGGAAAAAAAAGAGAAAGAAAAAAACTGAAAGAGAAAAAAAAATACAACAAGACATTTAAAAAAAGGAAAGAGAGAAGGAGAAGAAAAGGAAAAAGAAATTGAATATATCTGATACCTGAAATTAAAAAAAAAATACAAGCTCAAACAAAAAAAAATAAAATAAGAAAAAAAAAGTAGTATAAAAAATTTTAAAATATAAAAAAAGTATATTTAATATAAAAAATCTCACACATGCCGATGCTACTCATTATTGCTTTTCTTTATAATAACCATCATATATTTTGATGCCATGGGCGCTGAAAATAAGCAAGAAGTTTCTCCGATTTCACATTCTGAATTTGGAAGTGTCAAAGTCTTGACTGTTCTAACTTCTAACCAATGTTGGCTGCAGATATAGAGCTTCATATCATGTTATGTGCATGTGCGTATGTATTTGGTCGATCAAGTTTATTTGAGTTTAGCACCAAAGAAATTGACTTTGAAATTGTCTGTCGCCACTACAGACGTCATCGAATTATTGGTCAAATGAAAGCCTACGAGCAACGCCACCTTCATTCTGCAACAATCAGTTATTTCTTTTTTCTATAACTCTGATATAGTCAGCTCGCAGCACTCACCCGAGCCATTTTTGGGACAGCGCAGCCAAATGATTGGGTTGGATTGACCCAAAATGACACCACACTATTGCTTTCTAAACTCTTTGCGGGCATATTCCATTAATTTAAGAAACGTGATGCGCGACAGAATAATGAGTGAAGTGATTGATCAGGCTACACTTATTTGTATTCGAAACTCGAAAGTATGCTGCTAATTTTAGAGACCATCAGCTAAAATATCAACTATGCTTGTGGGATACGATGAAATGTTTCTCAATCGCTATGAAATCACTTTAGACTTTAAGGGACAAGTTCTCCATCAACCTCTCCGATTGTTGTTCTCGGGGAACAAATTGATCTTCGAGTGTAAATTGGAGTGACGCATACCATGAAGCTTCCTCACATGTGTAAATTTAAATTGCAATTCCAGCCTCTGCTTTGAATTGAATCACGTTATGGTTTTGATCTCTTCGCTTTGTGACAACATGCCTGTTTCACTGGCAACATGTTTGGGGCCATCCTAGAAGCCCAGAGAATCGAAGCCCAATCGTCATTTTCACTAACAAGGCACCATACATGGCGTCCCCATCCTCTTATGTAAGTTGTAGAATAAACAAGATCCCAGTCCCAGTCTCAGTTGTGGCGCACGCCAAGAAGGTTGAAAAGCAGGAACTTTCCACCTCAGCTTTACCAACAATAGTCTAGGTGCTTGATGGAGACACGCATACGCTTATTTTACGATGCATAAAATAAATTAAAAGTGCTATGATTGAAACGTCATACAATAATACTCCCGCGAAAAGTCTTCCCAGACTCCAATTCGGGCTAAAATGAAGTGATAGATGGGCCACCTCAAATAGTGCCGGTGCTGGACTGGGTCCATCATGAAAGCTGCATCACACAAACTATTCCATGTCATGTTCCAAGAATCCTGTGAAAAAAAAAAAAAAGAATGACAATAAAAGCTTACAATAAAAAATTATAATAGTTAGATTTTTGACAAAAATTTCTTAAAAAATAAGTTGTAAATATTAATTCAAACTATTACCATCCATGATTAAAAGTTGAGGGCTATATTTAAAATTTAAATATTCTGTTTACACTTAAAACTTTTAATTGACAATTGTCTAAATTAATATTTATAATTAATTTTACCAAAAATTTTGTTCAGGGTTTAACTGTAAAAAATAAATTGTTTTGGAACTTTATGCTATCTTTGGTAAGAAAGAAAAGTAGGAAAAAAATGCCTGCTTGACTACAAAAAAAAAAAAAAAAGGTGAAGGGGAGAAAAAAGTGGAAGGAAGATAACATGTAAAACTCATATTTTTTTTTTACTTTTTTTTTCCAAATATTGGGAGACTTTAGTGAGAAGATTTCATTTTTAAATTTATCCACTAATTTTTTTATTGTCTCTTGCTTTCTTCTACTTCATCATGACAATTTTGGTGTAATTACATTTTGATTATGATTTTTTATTAAACAAGCAACACATTTAATTTTTAGATTCATTAGACAATGCTGATTTTAAATTTTCAAGTTAATTTTTAGATAAGTACCTTATATTTAGTTGTAGTTTTAAATTTTAAAATTATTTTATATTTAATAGTTTAATAAATAAAATTTTAAATTAGACAAAAATATTTTTTGTCAGTATTAGATAAAATAATTTTTAATTATGTTTTTATTCAGTCAATAATATATGATAAAAATTATTATATATATAATATTTAAAAATATTAAATTTTATTATATAAATATTTTTATAAATAATAAATTTATTATTATTCATATAAAATTAACAATTTTTCTCTTCTCTTTATTTTCTCTTATTTAATCAAGTACAATAAAATAAAATTGCATCTCTTTACTTTTTTTTTTCTCCTCTTCAGTTTTTTTCCCTTTCATTTCCTTTCCTTCATATTTTTCTCTACAAGCACTAATGTTATTCTCCTAATAAAAATATATACATGCTATTTTTGCCTGAGTCTTCAAAGAAAAAAAGTATTCTTTTTATTTTAAATTATAAGACATTTTAAAAAAATTAAAATTTTATTAAATGCATCAATTTTAATATTATCATTTTTTTATAATTAATTTTTATTTCTTCTCCTTTTAATATATTAAATTATAAATATTTTTGACAGTTTATGTTTTGATTTGAAAAAGATAAGATTGTTAGTATGTATTTAATAAAATTTATTCATATATAAAATTTTATTTAAAAATATTTTATAATTTAAAATGAAGAGAGTATTATTTTTCTTTCTTCTTTACAATAATTATTTTTTATTTTTAAATGAATTAAAGGCAATTAACCTACAATTAGCGGGGGGGAAAAAATCCGAGTTTCGGTTTTGTAAAATTATGCATCCTCGGTCCTCCCAATTACGCTGAGCCACTCGATCTCAAGCCAAACGGCGCCTTTACGCTGCCGCCACTGGGAAAACCCTTGAATTTCTTTCTTTCTTTTTTGGCCAAAGAAAAACCTTTGAATTTCAGTTATAACAAATAAATACTTTAATTTTTTTTTTTGCCACGAAAACATATTTCCGTTTAGAGTCACTCCTTCAGTAAAGGAAATTATAATTTTACATGCAATATTATCAATAGTACTTAGTTACTAAAGATATATATTATCCAAAAATGGCTCGTATTAAAAGCCATATTAATATTTATTAATTATTAATTATAAATAGTAAGTATAATCTTTTTTTGACCAGAAATAGTATGATCTAATATAAATTTAACATTTTATAATGATATTGATGATAAATGCGGAATTAGTTAGCAGAATGATTACGGAGAGCATTTTCCAAAGAAAATAACTGAATCCCAATAATGCCAAAAAAAAAATCATAAAAAAAGATCCAAGGCTCGCGTTTTCATATAATGAAAAACGGCTTTGGAAGAACAGAAAGTAAGGTTTGTAGTAAATACGCTTTATTTTGCTTTTGCTTTCCCCTCTTTTCCAGCTGTGTAGGTGTGAGAGCGGAAGAGCATTCGAGGGAGATTTCATATTGTGGAAATATGTATCGAGTGCCGAGTGTTTGTGTTTGAATTTGGATCTATTGGTGAAAACAGAGGGAGATGTTACTGGATGAGCCTACTTGGGGTCATTTGTTGCAGTCCCGGTGATGGCGTCTGAAACGGCGTTGTGGCCCACCGATGGAGAAGCCGTTGCTTCAGTAGCCACTCCCGTAGCAGTAGCAGGGCCTGATAAAAGAGGTAAGCATCGGATTCTTGCGGAAGTGAAGCGTCTCGAGCAAGATACCCTATATCTCGAGGTGATCTTTCTTCCTCAGTTACTTCTTATTCCCCCTAATTTAGTTTATATGTTTACATGTTTGTATTTATCAACCTGCTTGTGTAATGAAACTTGTCTTGCTACATATGATGCGTCGTTATACTACATACTGAATTGTTCTTGGGTCTGTTGGAAGTCACTTTTCCAGAATATCACGAGTTTCGACGGAATAGATTCCTTTTGTTGCCAAGCTAAGAGCTTGACAATTTTTGGCGATTCTTATGCTTGAAGCCAAAGTATTTCTAGTTCATTGTGCGAGCATTTAGGTGGATAAGTCTTTAGATTAGCAGGGTTCTTGGAAGGGAACGGGATAAAGTTGTGTGCAAGAGTTTCTAGATTTTGCTTCTTAAATAAAGGTGGAACTACAGGAATTCCCTGCTTAGATTACGCCGTCATTGTACACGGTATACAAAAGGGTGTGAAATTTTCTGGGATTTGGATGAAGATGAATTGTTGAACGGAATTTATTGGTTATTGGCGCGTAATTATGAAGTTTCAGGCTATTGTTGGCTGTCCATTCTGATCAGGTTTCTGATTTGCCTTATTAGGCTGAGCTTTAGTAAAGCATATCTTAACTCCCCAAGTCCTTCCTCCTCTTTCTTCACAGGATTAGGAAGGAGACATATCTAACACGGACCTGGTTATGGATAATGTGCATTTCTTGCGCTAAACATATTAATGTTCATATCATGGTCGAACTAGTTGAAAGTTGAAACTTTTATTGCGTCTAGTTTGTTAGTTATAACAAAACCCCACTTGTTTGTTTTGAAATTTTAAATTACCGGTGTCATCAGCATGACAGCTATAGGGTTCTTAGGAATCCTATTTATTTCAGAAGATACATATTGAAATGCCTAGGGATTATCATTCCTGTTGCTTCTGTCAGGTTTCACGTTCTTCATAATGTACCGCGGAGAACTCTTATTATTTGATAACTGTCTTTGGTGATTGAAATGTAAAATTGCCGTTCTTAATATTTTTACTATTAGATACTCATAATCTTGCATTTTGTCAGAAAGGGTACAGAGAAAGAGTTAATGATGATTCACAGTTTGATCCTCTATGTTGATGGCTATAAATTTTATAAGAAATATTGTGCCTGAAGACCATATCAAACAAGCATCATAGCTTAATAGTTTCGGATCTTTTCAAGAAGGGTCTTTTTCCTACTTGGCATGGCATGCCCTGATGATATGAAGACTTAATGCTATTTACACGATGCACTGATTGCATGTACCACTTATTGAGGTGTAGGAGAACCCAGATTTTGTGCATAATGCATGCATGCAGAAATTGACACAAAAAAACTTATTGAAAAATGTCTACATAATTTTTTTATGCTAAGATATTTCGATGAATTCCTTTTTGAAATGAAAATGGATTAGAGGATAAAAAATTATCTGTAAAGTATCTGTGCCATATGACTTCCCAGAAATATGTAATTCTCTGATTTTTTTAGTTCCATAAATAATAACTTCTCATTAATGTTAGTAATGGGTTATCTTTATAAAAATCTATTAATAACTATGGGCCATATTGCTGCGCTTTTCCGGTTGCTTAATTTCATGTCAAGGCATTTTACTAGGTTGATTGTTTTCTTTTACTATATGCCTCCACTTAGCTTCTGCAAAAAGGCTTCTTCCCACTCGTACATCATTTACTGCATTCCTGATTTGTTGTGTTTTTCTTGTATTCCTTCCAGGAAGAACTGGAAGTGCTTGAAAAAACCGAAAATGTGTCAACCATATGCAAGGAGTAAGTTCCAAAGACTGTTCTCTCTGAAAGTAGGAATAAGACATCTCTGAATATTTCTTAGTAGATAGATTAATTGTCTAACTAGAAAAAAATCCTTGTTAGCTTTGCCCAATCATGGTATAAATCTGAGTTTAGCATGATAATGATTTAGGATGCGATATTATTGCAAGGCTGATATAGTTCCTCTTGACATGTTGCAGGTTGCTCCAGAACGTGGAAAGTAGGTCAGATCCACTACTCCCAGAGTAACTTCTATATCCTACATCATCACTTCGTATTATATGTTGTGTTACCCTGCATAATCATCATTTATTTCTTTTTCTTTTTGCCCCGAAAACAGAATTCATGGACCTGTGAACCTTTTGTGGGATAGATGGTTTGAAGGGCCTCAGGATCCCCAATCATGTAGATGTTGGATACTTTGACAGGAAGCAGCCCATCATTTGACTCGTGTGGCAGTAGGATGCGTCATCTGACTGCGTAACATAGACACTGTGGCTTGGTGCTCCATGACATGTAATGCCATGTGAAAAAAAAAAAAAAATCTTTAATGGACTCTTTATTTATTACAGGAGATGCTGCTTCAAATACTGGTTTTGTAAATCACATTCATTAACTGAAATCAAATGATTAGAAGTATCACTCTGTGCTCATCCTGAAGCCAACTAAGAATGCACGCATGTGCAGGCAAGATTCAGCGTGGAGATTGCATATTTTGACAGCCTTCAAGCTTTAAAAGGTGGCATTAGGAAAAGTTATTGGTTGCTCAGACCAAGTAATCATTAAACTGGAATGACCTCGAGTAAAAAGTTATTAGAAAAGGTAAATGAAACCAAGAGGGTGATAAATCTTGCAGGTTGTAAATATTGCTAGCCCTCTGTTGCGAACTGGGAAGGGAGATATCCCTTTCTCGGCATTTGATCTTATGTAATTTCGGGGGCGCTTAATCCGGTTGTAAAAATTTATTGACATGTCTTATTCAAAAAAAAATAATAATAACGACATCTGAACTCTTCTTTTTAACCAGTTAACAAATTGAGTACCTGATCATGTTTATGAAATGTGTAGACTCAAAGTGAAAATAAAACCGTAACGTTTTCGTTACAACTTGAATTCTAATTTTAAAGCAACCCTTTAGACACGGGAAAGGAAGTGGGCTCTGATAAAAGGGTTGCAGATTTTCTTGTGTCTTTTTCAGCAATTAGCCTCTAACCTTAAAATGGACGATTGATGAAATTACTGAACTATGAAGACCAACCTGCTCGGCAATAATAAATTGTAGGGCATGCCCATCAGGACAAAGAACACCAGTCAAAGCTTGAATATGACAACAGGGGAAACGGTCGCCGTTCCCTCTCTTCATTCACAATAAGAAAATGGAAAAAAAAAAGCGAAAAGGAAAAAAAAATCAGAATATCTCATTTTACCACAAGTTGACCGAAAGAAAACGAAGACCGTTGCATCGTCACCGTCAGCATCATTAAAGTTACAAAATCAGCCTTATCAATGAATAAATAATCCCATAAAAAATCATGGGGAACACCAACACATGATCATAGCAGTTAGTCTGTGTCTGGGTACGAAGGATGAAGCCATGTTGTTCGCAGCCTCCGACGAAATCCCCCAATAACTAGGCACAGACCAGTTTGAAGGAAAGCATGTGAGACTGGTTATTATCGAAGAGAAAGGCTTTCGCTTTTGCCTTTTGGCCACCACGGGTACGCGTCTCAAGTAAATTATTAAATTGGAACATCCCTCTCTCCAATCACCCATATGCATCGTTTTCTATTACTTTCCCCTTACTTTCACTTAACTTTGTCCTCCTCTCACCTCTGCCGCATAATAACATAATCCAAATTTAGGGTTCTATGATGTTTTTTAATCCTTCATCTGCATTGAAGAAGGAGCCGAACGAGTATAACAAGCTCCAGCTACAGCTAGCATTAATGGAATAGACATGTTTATTGCAATTGGCTAATTAATTGCCTTCCGTTGAAGGAAAACAACACCTGCCACGATATGTTTGCAATAATTAATTAGACTTGATGTCGTTCCATCTCTGTTTTGGGTTAAACCTAGCCCTAACCTTGCCCTATAATGATGTTGTGGCACACATTCACCCTCTTATCTGCCACATTCATCGTCTTTCTTCTCTGTTTCTACACGAATGATTTGTGTGCCTATGCTTTGCTCTATGCTACTAGACTAATCAAGCCCATTCTTCCACCTTATTTTAAATTCATTATGCTAAACGTAGCTGCAATATTATAATTATTAATTAGTCAAATCATGTTGTTTATAATTAGATTATTTACGTATAGGTCATTCATTAGGTCAATTTGAACCTAGAAATTCATTCACATCACAACCCCACCGTCACCCAGCTGAAAACTGACCTTCTATTCGTATCTTTAAATTGCCCATCAGCTGTTTCTATAGCCTTTTTATTTATTTATTGTAATCCTGAGTAATTTGGAAGAGATTGCTCCTGTAATCAGTCGCTCTACCTGGTGTGTTTGGGTAACAGCGCCTGAGAAATTGAAATTATGGATTAAGCTACAATTTGCGAACATGCATTAAATGTGAGCAGTGATGTTTGTCAAATATGATTATTACCTCAAGTTGCTTATTTATGGTAATCTAGTTGTACAGCTGATGTAGGAACAAAAAGATCTAGAGCAAAAAACATACTGATTTATCGTCACCTACCCCGCATATCATGTGCATAGGTTTATCTTTTCTTCTTTTTTCTTATCAGTTATCATCATCTCTCGTTCTTTTATTTCTCTCTTTCATGACAGAGAGAGGCAAAAGAGATGCAAACGCATGTGATTGATGGGATCCTACCCTTTATTTTTCTGGATAATCCCAAATCAGCCTCTCTTTTCGGATTTAGTTGTGCTTCATTAAACTACACATCTTATAAAACTATCTGGGAGGGATCGACAATAATGTGATAGCAAATTGAAATTACAGAGACTAAAAGAAGGGACTAACCTTCCCCAGAATAGGACAAAAGATGCCAAGCACACATTCACATGAAGAACTCTAGCAATTCTATATTCATGATTACTTCATCCACAAGAACGTGGCTTGCATATGATTAATTCCCTTTTACATATAGCCATATCCTTGTCATGTGGCACATTCTCTTCTTTTGACTTTGACTCTGATACAGCTACCGAAAAGTAAAACTTATATGTAGTTGAGTCTTGAATGAGCAAGATTAATTACATGAAGTATTGGTGCATGAATGATTCCCCATTGGCGGTTTTCTGCAACATTAATTAGGTAACAAGAGATTTTAGTATGGTTGTAATAATTGATTCCTGATTTAAAAGAACTAAGTCATGATTTGGCAACATAGCCAATTTAATATCAATCAAAAATGAAAAAGGAAATGGTGATAGGAGGGGCATAAAAAGATACCATAGATAAATAATTACAAGGAATGTAATAAAACAGTACAATTTTTAGGAACGGGGTGTATTTATATATAAAAGAAACAAACTAAATAAAAGTGCATGTGAATGGGGATAGGAATATGGCATAGTCTTCAAGAAAGTGGTCCAAGCCCAACAAGTGATTACTGAAACACAGAACAGATAGAGGAATCAGAATCCTATTTCCCCTTCATGACTGATTCAGAATTGCCACATCCAATTCTGCCGATCACCTCATTTCTGCAATTATATTAATATACCTAGAAAAGACTCTGCCCACCCGTCATATGGGTATCTTTTTGGATTTGCACACTTCCCTTGGAATTATCATGCGAACCCAGCACTTATCTGCATTATTTCCTCTTCCCTGTAATGGATTAACAGTATCTTTGTGAAAACATTACTGACTTGAGATTTGAGGTATCTAAGCCACAAGTTGGCATTCTCTTGCAAGTCATTTAATGCCAAAGCTATCTTTTAATGTAAAGTTGGGAATGGAGAGGATTTTGAGCGAAAGGGTGAAAGCAGATGGCTCGGAGATTAGAGGAATGTGTGAAGTGGAAAGACGCGGTGGATGAGAGACAATTCAAGATGAGATTGAGAGCCTCAGCATTTGGGATCTGAGCTCTCTTGCCGAATTCGTATAACCAATTGACATGGGAAATTGAGGACGATGGGGACCTCTCATGCATAATCGTACATATATATTATACTTTTCTGGTGCTGCCCCTATGAATCTAATAAATGACAGTTTGTGACAGCAGTAACTTGGGAGGGCGTGTTTGGATGGGGATCGAGTCGGATGAGATTTCAGTTATGGCGAAATATAGTTAAAACTTAAAAGCGAGCTCACAGATCTGAGACGCATGTGATATGAGATAAAAAGTGAAAAAGGAAGTGGTGGTGCTTTTATTTCACAACAATCATAGTTAGTAATAAAACCAGAAACAGTGAAGGCTTTGAACGGTTTTGGGAGAGAGTAGGATCACGTGGAGCGATCAGAGAAGAAGAGCTGTGTGGAAGACAATCCACATGGAATTAGCAGCTCGACTCCCCCATTTTATTCATATTTCAGTCTCGTGGTGCTATACCGAACCAAAACATTTGGTCACAAGAGGGCAGAAGAATTATGCTCTTCCTTTTATACGCGCACAATGGTTGATTGATTGCACATAACGTTGAATTAGTAACTCATATGCGAAGAGTTATGTGGGATTAGCTTTTTTTGTCGTTATTACCATCTGGGGAGGCCGGGGTCCTGATTTTCATCTTTTTATTTGTTTTCGTGTATTAATAGTTGTAAATCAGACTTAACTCCATTGATCAAGGAATATCCATATGTATACAAGTACAGCAACTGAAACCTTTGAGATTCTGTACAATGTCTATTAGTTTATGCTGCCCGGATATTGATGACTCTTGTATTAATAGGATGAGGATTTAGCATATCGAAACATTTCAGTATTCGTCTGGAAATTTTCTTTGCTGAAGAGTGACGGAGTTGGTTGATGATTGATACAGTCACCGCTATTCCTACACATGTGCTTGCTGTTTCAGGAACACCACCTTATAATATATTAACAATGCGTGCTGTGCGTTCATAATAGAAATTGGATTTAAAATTTCGATGATTATTTTCTGAAAGTGGATGCATATGGTCACGTGATGGACATGGGTGAAAATTGAAACGCAAGCAAGATATGAGGGGGAGAGAACTAATAAGATGGTTCATTACGGAGGCCTCATTTTTTCATGATTGAGGCAGCGTCCGTACGTGCATCCATCTGAGTTCTGACTCAATCGAGTCCGATCAAACGTAACGGATAAATTTAATGAGAGAAGCAGAGGAAGAGGATGTAGCATTAAACGGGTCCTACTTACTCTTTCTGATGTAGATTCTTTTGAATAAAAATATATATCCTGCATAAATGTAAGAAATGTTGGGATAAAGCATAGAGAGAAAATATCACTTTATTCCAAATTTGAGTTCTGAAAAAGCAGTAATATTAATGGTAGAGTTTTCATAAAAAGTAGTGTCTTCACTTGATTCAATTCAAATTAGTAAGTTTTATTAAAATCTTCTCAACTTGACGTGAGGCACATCTAAAATATCAAGTGCTCAATGAAAAAAATGAGAGAGAGAGAGAGAGAGAGAGAGTTAGGGATCTAATGAATAGATCTCACATTTAGAGCCGGGAATTCGGGCGGGCCATAAGCCCGGCTCGAATAAGCCCGAACCTGAATATACCACCTATTTTTATAAGCCCGAATTAACAAGCCCGGCCTGAATTTTTTCGGGCTTCGGGCTAGCCCGAATACCCGTTTTATATATTTTTTTGGTACGATTTTGATAATTTTTTTCTCACCTAATTGCATCAAAATAATAATTCAACATGCATTCATTGTTACTATTTTTTTTAACCATCTAAACTAACGAAGCAAGAGCAAAATCATTATACTAGTTTAACATCCAAAATAAATAATCCAACAAAATAACAACACATTCAATATGACATTATAGTTAAAACATAACAATAATCAACAATACAAATAAAAGTCAAGCTAAATCCAAATCTTGTGGCTCTTCCTGTTCCTCATCATCATCCAAAACTACATTTGCACTCTCAATGGCAGACAAATCCATATTTAGATTTGGTTCAAGTGATTCCTCCTCTTCCTCTCCCTCTCCCTCCCCCCTCCCTCTCCCTCTCCTTCTTCCTCTTCCACTACCTCTTCTCCCTCAATCCTTTCTTTCTCTTCACTATCTGGAACAAGACAACAATGAAAAATTTTTTCAATTATAATTGAATAAAATCAAATTTTACTTAATAATTATATAACAAAATAATCATATATTTTAAATTTATATTACCATCATATTGAAAACCACTTAACCAATTACGAGTGCAAATAAGAGCTTGAAAATTAGAAGGAAGAAGACTGCTCCGATATTTGGTGAGAACACGGGAGCCAATGTTAAAAGCCGATTCACTTGCCACTGTAGTGATAGGAACACTAAGGATATCGGCTGCCATCTTTAAAAGGATAGGAAATCTACCCTTATTAGTGTTCCACCAATTGAGAACATCTAAATCTTGATATGTCTGGGGTTGAAGTATTGCCTCATCCAAATAAAATTCAAGCTCAGACTTTCCAACAGATATAACATCCATGCTTGTATAATTAATCCAATCCTGCAACATGTAAAAATTTAATAAAATACCAACTAATAAATTAAAATAAAACAATAGATTTAAAGCTAATAACATGAGATTAAACTTACATCTAAAACTCCTGGAATATTGCTACTCATGGTTGAAGCTGAAACACTAGAAGTTGTAGAGGATTAAGCTTGATTTGCTTGTATTGGAATTGTTGAACTTGATCTAAGATCTGACGAAAGAGCATCCATCTCTTTGTATTGATTAAAAATATATCTCAACTTGCTTTTAATGCTCCCAATCTTGGCAGGGCAATTTATAGGATCAATCCTTGCATACATGTACTGTATCATTTGAATCTTCATTCGCGGATCAAGCACAGCTGCAATTGCAAGGATAGTACTATAATCATTCCAATACTTGTCAAATTTTTCTTTCATTCTTTGAGCCATTTCTTGTATCACGGGATCACCATTTACCATATTATCATCTAACAAGATCCGAATCTTTGATACTTGAGTGAAATACAAGTTCGAAGTGGGATAAGATGTCCCAGACATCAACCTTGTCATCACATCAAATGGCCTCAAGAAATTACACATCTCTTCTCCTCTCCTCCACTCTTCATATGTTGGGCAATGGGTAAAATTATTATCAACACATGCAAAGCTAGTAAAAGCTCAACGATATTGTAATCCACTCTCAAGCATTGCAAAAGTAGAATTCCATCTAGTGGGCACATTCATCCTCAAGCCAATTGAACTATCAATGCCACCAACCTCTTCAACACATTTTTTAAAAGCAATTGCCCTTGCCTCTGATTGTTTGACATACTTAATGCTATCTCTAATTTTGTTTAGAGCAGCACTTGTCACTTTTAAGCCCTCTTGAACTATTAAATTTAAGATATGGGCACAACACCTTTGATGAAAAAATTCTCCATTACAAATCAACCCATTATCTTGCAAAGCTAACCTTTGTTTCAAAATTTCTTGCATATTATCATTTGCAGAGGCATTATCTAAAGTGATAGAAAACACTTTCTTAGTAATCCCCCAATCAATCAAACAATCATAAACTTTCTTAGCTAATTCTTTTCCGGAATGTGGAGGCTCCATCTTACAAAAAGAAAGTATTTTACTATTCAATCTCTAATTTTCATCAACAAAATGAGCAGTCAAGCATAAATAACCTTCAGAGGTTATAGCAGTCCAACAATCAGATGTTAAACAAATTCTACCAATACTTTTCAACAATCGTTGCTTCAATGCCTCTTTATGTCCTTGATAGACTTTTGTAACATCAGACACAGCTGTTTTTCGAGTAATGCACTTTACACTAAGATTCAATATTAAAGAATAATACTTGAACCATCTATATTCAACCATAGAATAAGGCAAATCATGTTCAATTATCATCATAGATAAAACCTCTCGCACATGCTTATCATTAAGCTTTCTAGACCTCAATTTTCCTTCTCTGTCCATCATCATCACTCTAATATCATGATACTTAGCAAGTTGGGGACAATTTTTAACATGTCGTGCTAAATGAGATGTGCCATAAGCCCCAGATCCTGCTAGGTCTTTATTACAACCATTACACCTGGCTTTTACTTTCCCATCAACTTCAATTCTAGAAAATGACTTCCAAACATCAGATGTACAGGTTTTTAATTTTTTAGCAACAGGTGGCTTCACTTCTTTCTCAGAACTTGTTCTTTTACTAGAATTACCAGAGCTAACAGACTTCTTACTTGCAGAGGTAACAAATTTCTTACTTGCTGAGGTAGCTGATTTAATTGCAGAGGCAAGTAATTTTTGGTCATTGTTTTTTTGAGAGGGAAAAATATCAACTACTTTACCCTTACCACGCACATTATCATTTACCTTACTATTAGAACTACCACCCACATTTTTATTAATTTTCTTCCTTTGACTAGAAGACATGTTTCACTGCATAAAATTGAAAATTAAACATCAATTTAACATACTATGCATTTATGCCTTTATTAAAAGTTAACACAACCAGAGGCAATCTCAAATAACTTAAAATATTCAATTTCACATAACAGCACAACCATTGAAATTCATGCAGAGCCACAGAGGCAGTCAGTCTCACATAGCTTTAAAAATAAGCTTAACCAAACACAACCAAAGGCAGACTCAAAGGCAAAGCCAGCTTAAAAACAACCTTAAGCAAGAACAACAAGAACAGGAATCAGAGGCAGACTCAGATCAAAACAGAGCATAACAATACGCATGAGAGAAAAAGAAAGAAGAAGAGGAAGAAAACCTTACTAGTGGCTTTTGCCGTTCTGGTCTAGACGATTGAGGGAGCTTGTTGTGCTAGGGGGTTTTGGTTTGGACGAAGCTCGTTTTGCCAGTGGGTTTGAAGATTACTGGATCTGAAGATTCAGAACGTGCTTCGACTTCAATCAATCACTATCTTGCCGTCTGGTTCGAAACTTCGATGAATCTCGCCTCGCGTCTCGCCGTCTCGCCTCGAGTCTCGCCGTCTCACCGTCTACCCTTGCGTCTCACCGTCTCGCCGTCTCACCTCATGTCTCGCCATCTCGCCTCGCGTCTCGCCGTCTCGCCGTCTACCCTTGCGTCTCACCGTCTTAAAGTCTCGCCGTCTCGCCTCGCGTCTCGGTCTCGGTCTCGCCGTCTCACCTTTCACTCTCGATCTGATTCAATCTCAACTAGTCACTCGCCGTCACTGTTCGTGTTCGAATCTAAAGACTAAACCTCACTCAACCAGTCAGCACTCAGCCGGCCCTCACCTCACTTATTTAGTTATTTCTGCAATTCTGCCAGCGTGTCTTCGGTCTCCCATCCGCGGTCTGCAGCTGGCTCCATTAAAAAAAAAGGGTATTCGGGCCCGTTCGGGCTTGGCCCGAATTTTTTCGGGCGTATTCGGGTGGCCCGAATAGGCCCGAAACATCAGTTTTTTTTAAGATATTAAGCCCGACCTTAATTTTTTTCGGGCTTATTCGGGCTAGCCCGTCGGGCTCGGCCCGAATTACCAACTCTACTCACATTCATTGTTCTTATCTCAACATATAAAACTATTAAAACATGTATATTTGTAAGGAAATTTGATCATATGTTGCTAACTTCTTGTATAATCATAATGCACATTTAATAAAAGTAGCCCAAGTGGGAAGTGAAAAACGAATGTGATGAATAAATTAGATGGTTGAATGGATATGGAGTCCTAGGTTTACAATTACTGATTACTGTATTGGAAGTAGGGTGCTGGGGAAGGAAATGGACGGGGAACATGTAATAGTAATGAAGAGTACGACGAGGAATAACTCAGCCTCTCTCGATTTCAACCGTGACTCACCCAATTCGTTAACAGTGAACACACTTGATGACCAAGTAACAGGAGAGTTTAATGTGTTACGAGTTGGCGGAAGATGTGGGAGGGCAGTTCCAATGTTACAAGTTACAAGCATCTATAAGCGGTTTGGCTAATCCTTTCCTATGCCTTACGTGGCTTCACCTCTTGCCCACATGCTCTCCACTCATACCTGAAGCGGTGCTCTCTAGATTCCAGGCCCAGAACCTCTTCCATGCCGTTCTGGAACCCAATTCACATTCGATTTTTGGACGGGTACTTTCATCGGCTCAATGAAATATTTGTTTATAATCAATTTAACCATAACTTTGACAATTCACAAATTAACTAATAATGGCCGGTATAATTTCTAGTAGTGTAGTATAACGGATCAAGAACCAGGTTGGGTTGCTTCTGAGGTGACTGCGCATGAGATGCAGAGGGAGTGCTCGAAGGCTCAGAATTCGAGAGAGCACAGCCCACCGTGGCCGTATTCTCTCTCACAGCATCTTCTCCCCACTTCAAAGAACCACTGCCACCCCCAATCCAAAAGTGAGTGGGCGCGCGCCTTTCTCTTCATCGCACGACCCTGTCATTACTAAATGACCCCCTCCCGGCACACGTTCGCCATTTTTCAAAATCTCAAGGCCCTTATCGTCTTTTCTCCTCACCCTTCATCTCCTTTAATTAATTGCGCCCACCTCCCCCTTTTAAAGAACCACAAAAGCGGGAGTCTCCGAGCACTCCCCCACCCTGCGGCAAAGCGGAATGTGAAAATGGAGGCTTCTCTGTGACGTTATCACTCTTCTCTGACACCCCGTCTGCATCAGGAACCTCCACCCGCCACCATGACGACGGGCATCGGCCACGACCAGAACCTAGAAAAACAGTTTCACAAGCAAATGGGCTGCATGGCTGGCTTCCTTCAGATCTTCGATCGCCACCAGATACTCACCGGCAAGCGCATCTACTCCGCCAAGCGGCTTCCCCCCTCCGATGTATCTATTCCTTCTCCCGTTTCCCCCCCTTTTTTTAGCTCCTTCATTTTTACTGCTTCCACGTTTTCTAACTGCGTCGCATCCGCCATTTCTGTATCTTCCCGTCACTTGCAGGTGGCGAATTCGTCACCGGAACCGCTTCACTTTGTTAGCTCCCCAGCGAAATGCAGAGAAGTGGAGACCCAGCCGCCGAGATCAGCACCGTCGCCGGACCGTGGGAAACAGAGTCCCTCCAGGGAGCCCCGGTCTCCAGCGCCCGAATCTCAAACCAACGTGCCCCTTCCTCTTCCCGTTTTTGAATTCAAGGAAGGCACGAGGTCTTCTTGGAAGTTCGCCAGAGAAGCTCCCAGGCTATCCTTGGACAGCAGAGCAGTAGTGGACGCCAAGGGCACCCTACACCCGAGGGGGATCCGAACGAGTTCTACAATGTTATCGTCCGATCGATGTGAGAATCCAGCTGACGCTGCGGAGAGTGATAGCGAGAAACAGCGTCGATCGACTAGCGTGATAGCCAGGCTCATGGGGCTGGAATCTTTACCGGATTCGGATCCTGAACCGGTCAAGAATGCTGAACTCCGAAGATCCGCTTCTGAGTCCAGAGTTAGCAGAGATCTGTTCCAGCATCGTTACTTTGACAGTAACAATATTCAGCGAAAGCAGTTACAGCTGCAGTCAAACAGTCAGGTTAACATTTCCAGCAATGTAGCCAGGGACCATGCAGCAGCCATCGACAATCGTCGTGTATACAATATCAGACCGGCAGATCCAAAAGAATTTGCTGTACGAAATGGCAAGACAGAGCCTGCAAAAACTCCTCCTAGGGGAATAGGACAAAAGAAGGGTTTCTTTGATTCCGCTGACTTTTTCCCCGAGCCAAAGCACACTGTATCAATCTACGGGGAGATTGAGAAGAGGTTGAAGATGAGGGGAATTGATGAACCATCTAAGGATCTCGAGACTCTCAAGCATATCCTCGAGGCTCTGCAGCTCAAAGGTCTGTTACATTCCAAGAAATCCTCATCACAAGCCAACCAGAAGAACTTCGTGTTTGACGGCAGCATCTCAGCGAATGAATCCCCGATTGTTGTGATGAAGCCAGCAAGATCTCCGTCTTCATGGAATCGACCTGGAAGGGTCGGTTGTGACTCTCCGCCCTCGAGCTTTCGATCGAGTCCTCGAGCTCGAGGTAACATGAATCTTGGCAACGAGACTCTTCCCACAGTGAGTCCGACGCGTGAAAGGCCAGAGTTGAATTGGACTGCACGAAATCAGCCCAGAGTCAGAAACTTGAGCTTGCCCACTCGCAGCGAAAGCAGTGTGAAGAGCCCAAGCCGGAGTAGGCTTATGAACATGGAGGAACAGAGGAAAGGGAATGACTCTGTTAGTCAGAGAAGAATCTGTCCAGTTCATTCCCCAAAACTAGGTAGCAGAAGGAATGTACCCCATCGGCAAGTGACGACGAATCGATCGCCGAGAATGAGAAAACCGGCGGCTGAGATATACGTGAAGGAGAAGGAGTTGAGTGTAGCAGAGGATGAATCATCCACTATTTCGGAGAGCAGCATTAGCACGTCTTCGCAGACAGATACAGAGGTAAATTAGTGAGTACTTATTCATGGATTGAGGATTGCCATTTTGTGGTAAAATGTTGAGTCAAACTGAATTTAGATGGGTAATTTATGATTGTGCAGAGATGCAAGTTGGAGGAGCACAAGGAAGGGAGAATTCTATTGGAGAGGTGTGACAAGTTGCTGCACAGCATAGCCGAAATAACAGCGAGCGAGTTGCAGCCAAGTCCAGTCTCAGTGCTGGACTCGTCTTTTGACAAGGACGAGTGTTCATCACCATCTCCAGTCATGAAGCGGTGCATTGATTACAGAGGTGAGTGGCTCTCATAATTGCCTGTGGTTCAGCTTCTTTTGTATTTAAAATAAAAGCGCTAATTTACTAGATTTTGCATTTGTCTTGAACTCTATGGTGACGTCTGCTGCCCCCTAGCCTGCTTGTTTATTTGCTCCCTCTTCCCCTATCCAAGGACAGAGCTTCACCTACGGTCCATTTTCTTTTTCCGACGTGGGTTATTCTGGTTGGTTAATTGACTACGTCAAAATGTGCGGTGGGTGGTCCGTCATATCCCACTCAGAAGTCAATGAGCAAATTAATTGGAAGCTACCACTTCACATGCGCCCGCTGTTGCATTGTAATTTATAACACAATAGATCAAAAGGTAACTAGTAAGAAATTAAAAAACTAGTATCACGTATAGTAATGAATGTTCCTGTACAAGATAAAACATGGGCCGTTGACATGTGACGGTGATATACTAGCTGAATGTAAGCATATTTGGGCACCCCAATTCAATGTCAAGCATCAGACTATTTTAGTTTAGGCATTGTCGGTGTTTTAATGCTATTGCTCTGTTCATTACAGAACAACCGGTGGAGTCGGAGGAGGACATGTGGAGTGCAGCAATAGGTTTCTTAGGAGGAGCCAAATCGGAGGAGACATCCGAGGATTACGACTTTGTTTACGTATCGGAAATCCTGCGAGCATCCAATTACTTCCCCGAAGACAGCGACATTTTCTTATTACTGGAGAAGCAGCAGTATCTCAAGGGGAAGGACACCTCCAAAGCATCTACGCTTCAAAGAAGACTGATCTTCGACACCATACACGAAATCCTGAAGCGGAGCAAACAACTACCACCGTGGAAGGCAATTTCGTGGATCCGACAGAGGCCATTGTTGGCGAGAATATGGTCGGAGTTCCGGCAGATCCGAAGGGAGAAGAGGAATCGAGGACATGAACGGATGGGAAGATTGCCCCGTGGAGATGGGCGAGGCTGTTCTGGACATCGAACGTCTCGTGTTCAAGGATCTCATCGGCGAAACCATACGAGACCTCGCCCAATCGTCTAACAGGCTCTCGGCCCTCCGTAGGAAATTGGTCTTTTGAAATCCAATTAGGAATGCCAGGGAATGAAGAAAGCTAGACCCCAGAAAAAAGGGGGAAACGAGGAACAAAGAGAGAGAGATGAAGAAAAGGGTCGATTTTGGGTTGCGTAGCACCTTTACCTCTGCCTAATCATTTTTTATCCCTTTTTTAGAGAAGGAATTAGGAATCTGGAAGCTGAAATCTAGGCAAATCGAAGGATGAGTATTTTATTTGGGTATAAATAAAGGTGGCATTTACTGTAAATGCAAAAAAAGGCTTCTGGGAGAATTACTTCCAACACCAACAGGACATGAACCTGATCATGAAAAAAAGTGGCATTTACTGTTTTCCATGAGGAGAGTGGTTGGTAACGTGTCAAACTTTCATCCCCCTCGTATCTCGCTTAATATTCCTTTCCAAACGCACAACGCGGAAACGCTTCCGTCGCTTTTTTCTGAAATTCTGAAACTTGTGAGTTGGAATATGTTTCCATTAAACTTATTAACGATGCTCTCATTATGGTAAAAAGAAACTTATTAATGATGTTCTCAATATGTGTAATTTTTTTCAATTATCAGTAGATGTCCCAGTCAATAAGAATTCATGATCAAACGGGTAGATTACATTTTCTCTCGAAACATTAAAACACCATCATCCAAAAGTAAAATGAGCAGGACTAGTTTCATTGCTCAATTAGTTTTGACTGATACTCAACCAGGGTTAAACAACATGAAAAGAACAGGATTTTTATATGAAAGTATCTGTAAAAAGTAAAACCGAGAATGTTGTAAATTTGTAATGAGAGAGAGACACCCCGGAGGGGGGGGCCCACAAAAGTAGTGAAAAAAGGGAACAGCAAAGGCGCTCGAGCAATAAAAGAGAATGGGGTGCAGCTGTTTTGGAAGCTTTAGATGCACACTTGACATGAAGCGACGGAAGGATTTCGTTTCCTTTCATTAAAGGACGCATCATGCAACCAACTCATCTGCTTCCTCTGTCAGTCAATATATAGCTCTTTTCGTCTCACTCATCTCTCCCCAGATGAACTGAATCAGCAAGCTCTATTAACAACAAGGCTATAAAATAATCATGTGATTAACGAGCCAGGCTTTCAAGATAGAGAGAGGTGGGCACTGGGCACAGAACAAGGAATGATAGTTAGTTATGATATGGATTGTGAGTGGACAAGGATTTACAATGAATCTGGGTCCTGTGTGTCTCCCCAGACCCTACTCTCCTTGTCAATTGTCGTCGTTAACCTTCGGCTCCACAAATGGTGTGTAATGTATCGTCCCGCAAGCACGCTTTGAATTGACCTTCACTGCCCTGTCCACATGATTTTCTGTTCACACGCAGATCAGTTCGTTATCTTCCTTTCCTCTCTCTGCGGCTACTATTATCCTCTTTTATTAAAACAAACAAATCAAGCAGTTGAATTTAATGGTGTGGAAGGTTAACGATGACAATTGGTCCATAGCTTTGCATGATTGGTACCAGCCAACAGGTCCGCGGGATTCACGAAACCTCAACCGCGGTCTCAATGTGGCATAAGAAGCAACACTTAAAGGATACCCAATAAATAATTCACACTACTATTAACCTATCTATCTTCCTCTGTTCCCTTTTTCTCAATTTGGAATTAGGTAGTGCTCTGGATTCATTCTATATCATTCATGTGCACAACCAAAGGCTGTGTTGGTGGTAGGGTCCGTTTCATGAGGGGACCCCCAGAATTGCCAGAAACAACCAAGTGATTTTTCCAGGAGTGGGTCCGCAGCCCCATTCATGGCTCTGCGATTGCATATTATTAATCCCCAGCCAAACGATCTGCATTAAAAAAGCACAAGAAGCTAAGCTCGTAAACAAGAGGAAGAGGGGTCGTCTGTCATCCGGAAAGGGCACAAACATAGCGAAGCATGTGTGTTTCCAGACATGAATGGGTGGAGCTGCAGAGGCACATGCCCCTGCTCTCTCAAACCCATTGAGTTGGCTTCTTTTCCCTCTAATGCTCATTTAAATCTGTCCAATCCTTGTCCTCGCTGGCTGTCATCTTTATTCACTCTTTGTCTCCTTCTTTGCACATTTGTGGGAAACGCTTCTCGGCCAAACCCCGTTCCTCCTTCTGGGACTTTGAATCATGGATGCCCCGCCCCAAAGCTTTTTGTTAGAATTCCAGCACGTGTTTGTATTCTAAATGCCAATGGAGCGACTAAATGGGATTTTGAATTGAAAAGACGTCGCGCCGGACTTGAAATGGTGTTGATCAAACACGGGCACGATGCCATGATTTTTGGGTGCGTATCAGAGAGTACTGGGCCGAATAACTCTTCGAAGAGCCTTTTGACAGGGACATGTCATTTGGATCTATTTGGGAACCCGAGGCCAGGAAAACGAAATGACCGAAAGTTCTCAACCTTGGGCCTTACCATTAAAAAGGAAACAAGCCAGACCTTTTCTTAGAAAGAAAGAAACCATAAGCGCTCGTTTTTTTTATTGCAAGAAAATAGAATTGTGACCAACAAAACATTGATTCTGGTAAAAGAGAATATCATCGTTCAAGTACAATGTCTTGAATTTAAGCATCCAATGAATGCCCTCTAAAAAATTATCATTAATACTAAAATATGACTTTGTCAAATAACCATGTGTGTGTGTGTATGAATTTGATTGATTGTGAATAAAATGAACTATTCAGGCAAAAAAACAAAAGAATAAAATGAATTAAAATAAGGTGAAGAATGAGAATTAATATGTATGAAGTTACCAATTCGCATTTTTATCTCTATCATTTCATAGCTCTTTGTTTCTGTCATGCTCTGTCAATTCATAAACTTATTTTACTTTATTTATTTTTTATCTACTCATTCCATTTTGTTTCTTTCCAACAACCAGAAAATGGTTACTCTTCTTTTCTTCTTTCTTTTTCCTTTTGTCAAAGCAAAAACCGTTCAAGGTCGCTGCCACCTGCATATCCCAAAAAAAAGTCTCCGCCACCTCTTGACTTGAGGACATGATTTTGGTTCTTTATTGATTTTCTCTAGGCTCCGCTCATTTGATATTAGGAGTGGGTAAAATGAAATTTAAATTGAAAATTGAATCGAATTGACTTCTTGTTATTTGATTTAGAATATTTGGTTTTTTTGGTTGAATTCAATTTTTTTAAAAACATTATTTTAATTGATCGGGTTGATTCGGTTAGTAAAATTAAAAATCGAATAGACTAAACTAATCAAATTATCATGTATATATATAATTTATTAATTTATAAATTATATTTAGTTTATTAATTGTTATTTTATTTTATTCTTTTTAATTTTATACTTACATAAAAGTAAATATATAATTTGATATGTTAAAACCATAACCTCTCATTAAAATGGGCTACTATCACTTAACAAACTCAATTTTATATATAAGCCTTGTCTATTTTAATAGAAACAAATAACAAAATTGGCCCAATTCCAAGCAGTCTAACATGAAGCCCAAAATTAAATTAACTGATCAAATTAAATTTTTAAATTTCTATTCAATTCAATTCCCGTAAGATTTAGTTTATATTGTTAGTATTGTTTGGTCAATCAATTTCACACATTTTGTGTAACATCTTGAAAAATTAATGAGAATTAAGTTAAGTAAAAAAATTGAGTCCGAAGCAAAGCTACCCTGACAATAATAGGGTAAGAAAAGCTGAAAATTAAGTTTCTGTGCCACATACCGCATCGTGCAACATGTCTGCCATGGGTAGAGATGGCAATCAGTGAGAAGAGACCACTCTATACTTTGCACCGCAACACGTGGTACATGCAGTGTGGTGCATAGTCGAATTTTTTGATAAATTGGTCACGAATTAGACAAAAAACCAAAAAGAGAAAATAGTGAAAATGAAGAGAAACTAAGATTTCTCTTATAGGGCTTGTGGCATTGAAGATTTAGAAGTATTTTGGAGTCAGAGAACACTCAATGTAAGGTTTCTAAATTCCTTTCCTCCATTTCTCTTTCATTTTCTTCAAGAATTAAGTTAGGGTTTTAGTGATTATGGTGATTTTTGGTCCATATGTGTTATGAGTCCAAACCCATTGGCTTAAATAGAAACAATAAAAGTTGTTTAATATGTTTAATCCTAGTATTAGTGATTTTATGAGTTATTAGTTGGTAAGAACCATTAATGGCCGAAAATGACATTAATGGAGGATGTTGGAGCTGTTTTGAGATTATTAATGATAGTTTAATGGCTCATCAATGACAATGTGAACTAAATGAACTTAGAAAAATACAATGGGTATGATTGAGTGAGTTTGTGATATTGGTAAAAAAAAGACTGTTGAGTTTAAGGGTAGAGATTACTTGAATAAGGGTATTGATAGTTATCACTGTAGTTAAATTATAGATTAACTAAATATTGGCACCATTCAAGCTATTAAGAAAGCTTTGAAATTTGTATTTTGAGGGGTAAACATTTAATCTCTCAAAGGTTTGAGATAATTGAGGAATTTAGTTTATGCTTTTGTGTGTTTAATTAATTATGTTTGAAAGATTGTTTTAAAACTCATTGAATGTTTGTAAACTCGTGTTTAATGCAAATTTCACAATGTGAAGGATTATGTGATGTAGGAGTATGCGCATGCTTTGACGATTAAGCGTAAAGTTATACATACATGTTTGATACACAATAGAGCATGCTCATCTTGATAAAATGAATCTCATGAGTTATTTTGCATACTAAGAAATGAGGAATATGAGGGAGTCAAATTATGATAAATAAAATATGATGTGAAATGAGTAAGTACATGTGCATAGTATATGTTAATGTGTGCATCTCATGATCATTAAGACGTGAGTTTACATATAAGAAGAAGAGTAAATTGGTAAATCTATGTGGTAATGACGGCTTACCATTAAAATCAAAAGCTTGCTTTGACATTGACTGTTGTAATTGAGAGGTAGCCATTTTTTCATAGTTGACTAACAATTGTTCTACTTATTTTTCAAGAGACTTAAACCTAATTAGTCTCTACTAGTTCATGAGAAAGTTAAATTAGGGGTACGACATTTTATGGTTGTTAGTATTGGGAAAAACTATGGATCACAAGTGAGTGGGTTTGTTCTAGCCTGGTAGCTCCTTACGAGTGAAAGGCTTGGTTAATACGAATTTTGGGACGTAGCCTCTAAATAGTCATCAGTTTCATATTAGAGGTATCAAGAGAGTAGAAGGCTAGCATTGATCATGTATTTATATTTTTGGCCACATGGTTGCTTTTGTTATGATCTTCAGTATCTTTCATTATAGGCGTATGGTTATTATTATTATGATCCCAAAATGTGCATTTTTTGAATATATTTGATGATATATGTTGCATGCCCAGTCAGATGGTTGCTATTTTTATAACTGAAGGTATATTGGAAATATGTGCATATGATAATTGTGAGTTTATTGCCACTCGCATTTGTAATTAATTGAAATATAATTGCATGGGCTAGATTAATCTTGGTTGTTGAGTGATTGTATTCATCCCTTATTCTTCAATATTACAGGCCTAGATCATCGAACCAGGAATGGGAAAAATGATCGAAGGCATACGACTCTAAGTAAATCTGACTTGTAGGCCTCCTAGTTTAAATTATGTGTATTTGAACATTGTTAATTTGCCAATTAGGATCTCATATAATTCTTTTGACTACTTGTACTATGGTGTTAATGGTTTGAATGTATTTTGTGCCTTGGGTTTGTTTATGATGGGATTATAAAGTTTGATAGGGTCAAAATACTAATGCAAGTAGGGCACTGTGTATTTGGTTGACATTGATGAACATTTGATAGATTTATCCAAAATGGGCTCCCCTTCATGTTTTGTAAGTTGAGGGGTTGAGCATAGAAATTGATTTATGTATGATTGTTTGGTTGTGGTGTATTGCACGAGTTCATAATAGTTCCTTGAGTGTGGTCTAAAGATAAGTGTAAGCTTTTGGCACATATGTTGTGGTTTGGGTACCCTAGCTGTGTATTATTTTGAAAAAAGTGTGAGATTTTGTAAAGAGTGTCTACTTGTTGATAGAAAAATAATTTGGTTGCGAAATCTTATACTATTAGCTGAAGCTAAGAGAAAGCTCTCTATAAACACCAAGATCACCTCAATTAAATGTCGGGCAAAGATTTAGGGCATGTCGAAAGTTCATTCCAAGTGCTGCCATTTGATAGCAAAATGCTGTCAAACTCATGCAATGCATCACGACCTATGGCACAAAGACAACAAGTCACAAGGCACATGTTGTTTTGGGCAAAAAATGTTCTTTTGTTCTTTTTGCAAATGGATCAACTTATTTTGGATCCCATGCTTTTGCATATATATAAAAACTTTAATTTATAAATGTTAAAAGTGTATAAGAATGTTTTATATTATGAAAACTTGATACTCCTATTTATAATTTTGCAAACATGGTAATCTAATTGGATTAGTTCCATGAATACCTCAATTTCAAAGTTAACTAAGATTAAGAATGAGGAGTATTACATTTTGGCATCGAACCTATCGATGCTCATCCCTATTTGGTATGATGAAAAAGGATTCACGAAGATCGTGATAGGTACATATAATTATATTTCTTCTGTTCCAAATTATAAGTTAACTTTAAAAGTATTTTGTTGTTCCAAAATATAAAGCAATTTGATAGATATAATATTTTATTAATGATACTTTTTTAATATTACCCATCAAGTGAATAGAAAATTGAAATGATTGCAATATAATGATAAGTAAAATATTATGACTTCCATTTTATTTAACCTTAATTACAAATACTTCTTTCGAACTACAATATAAGGCATATTCTAAAAATATTACTTGGTCTAAAATATAAGGCATTTGATTAATTTTATATTTATTTTTAACCATACTCTCACTTCATTTATTACTCATTTTGAAAAAAATCATGCACTGAAATTTTAATTACTATCATCAAGACTCTTATATAGGATATTTAATAAAGGTATAAATGAAAAGATACGGACATTTTTAGGAATTTAAAGAATTAACTAACATTTTTTGTAAATCATGAATTAGTTAACTGTAACTTACTCCCTTCAATCCAAATTATAAGACATTTTATTCAGCTCATCTTGGGTTAAAAATATAAGACACTTAATAGATTTTCCTATTTTACCCTTATATTTATTAACTTGATTTGTTGTGTAACATTATTAGTATTTAGGGTAAAGATGCAAAAATAACTACAAAGTAGTCAGCATGGGCACTTAATATCCTAAAGTGAGGAAAATAAAAAAATACCCATGGTGTTTCATGGATGGATGCAAAAGTAACTAGATTATTAACTTTGGCTTAAAACTGTTAACTTTGATTATTAAATGCTGACTGTGCGTGCCATGTGTTAGTTTTTGCTGATGTGGACTAATAAAGGGATAAAAATACCCACAAAGTTGTAGGTAAGAGCAAAAAGACTATAACGTTACCTGAGTTGGTGTCAAAGTAACAAATCCATCTAATTCCTTAAATGTTGATCGTTTAATTAACACCTAAGTAGAAGTTGACTATTATTTTACCAATGTAAACAAAAAATATTCTCAAATGAATTCTTATGGATGTTAATCAAACATCGTATGAGTATCTATAATTTTATTTTAGTAGGTGTAATAGTGACCAATTCATCAAACTCAATGCCATATGATTTTTTCCCATCATCATGTACCTAGCCCCTTTCCTTTCTCCCTGTCTACTCATTTTTATTGTCTACAAAACTTAAGATTTAATATAGTAAGATAAGTTGTATAAAATTGAAAATTAAGATTAAGCATATCTAACTTAAGAACATTATTACAATCTTAAGCAATTACATTCATAATAGGTTCAAAATTTTTAATTAATTTTTACAAACTGTTGCAAAGAAACAAGCGATTTAATTTAATATTCAATCAAAATGATATTTTCTCACATGATATTCATACAATGAATAATTAACCTCCAGAGAGTTTCATCTAAGAATATTTTTTATCTACATCAATAAAAAAATGGTCAACTTTTACTTATATATCAACTAAACGGTCAACATTTAAGGGGTTGGATGGATTGGTTACTTTTGCACCAACTCTAATAATGTTATTGGTATTTTTGCTCATGGCCTATAACTTTGTGGGTATTTTTATCCTTTTATTAGTCCACATTAGCAAAGACTAACATATAGCACGCACAATTAGTATTTAACGATTAAAGTGAATGGCGTTGGGTCAAAGTTAACGGCTTAATTACTTTTGCACCTATCTATGTAACGTTATGGATATTTTTATCTTTTTTCCTCACTTTAGAATATTAGGTGTCCGTGGCTGACCACGTTGTGAATATTTTTGTCCTTTTACCCTAGTATTTAATACATTTTTCTCATTCTTCATGATAGCTAAAACTTTATTGATCTACAAGGAGGTTCATGCTTTCTCATGTTATAATACTTCATTAAAAATATTATCTCTCTCATTTAATTTATTATGGACAATTGGGAAAAGAGTAAAAAAAAATTATGATAATTATAACTAAAAATGAGAATATAACTAAATTCTATTAGTATTCAAATTATAGTTAAACTGTATTATATTTTAGACTAGAGGGAGTACTTCTTTTATATTTTTAAAACATATATGAACCTCCCTTAATATAAATAGTTACAAAACAAAGATATCCCCCTTATTTTTAAGATTTCATTTTCATTCACCTAATCATTAATTTACTATTAAATGACATATGATGAATCAAAATATCCCTCTTTAAATATAAATATTGTCTAAAAATTATTTAAAATATTCAAAAAGTTCATGCATATTTTTTTTTACTTTTTTAATTTATATTTTAAATCTTTTAATTTTGTAAACATATTTATTGAGCAATTTTTAAAAAATTCAAACACGCAATTAAAAAATTTAGTGAAATAAAATTTTAAAATTACTTATTTCAATATTGACATAATTATTTAAAGTTTTTAAATTTGGGAAAGAAAGTAGACAATTAGGTCATAAGAGAAAATTAATGATTTTAAATTTTTTGAAATAATTACAAATAAAAAATTAATTATTTTAAAATATTTAACAGAATATTCCCAATGATATTTTGAAAATAAAAAAAAATCTCCATAATTTTATTAAAATGAAAAAGAAACCACCATATTTTACTCTATAATAACTAAATGTACAGATTTGAAATAATTATACATAAAAAGAAATTTTAAAAATTTATATTTTTCTCTTGAAAAATAAATTTGTAAAATATCATTATTAAATTTTATTAATATATACAATCTTATCTTAAATTATCTTATAATTTAAAACAAGAAATACACTATTATCATTACTCCTATTGTTATTGATTAAATTTTTTTTGGAAACATGGTCTTAGTCAACTCAAAACCAATCAAAAAAGCGTGGGCAACCCCAACCCCCTTTCTTAATCGAGGGCACTTGTGCATCATGTGTTTGTTTGTGGGGCTTAGTCCACTAAGTTGAGAATGAAATGGAATTGGAAACCCTCACACGAGCCACATGAAATCAGAGACCTTACGTTTATGTACGCAACCACACTTCATCCTCACAGTTGAGTTTCCCAATATTCTTCCTCGGAGGAAGATTTAGCAGTAACATCTCCATTTCTAGTCCACTTTCTCCCTTCCAATATCCCACTTCCTTTAAGCATCCACTCACCGCAAGAGACCTGAGCAATACTCCCTACTTCACTTGAGAGAATAAATACAACTCCAGAAAGCAACAATTCAAAAACCATTCATCATTAAACAGCATCCCAAATCTCCTACAGACCGCTTCATACAGCAAAAATAAACATATCCAACAAGATCATATACATTCTAACATTCAGTTCTAAACAAACCAGTCAAGTTACCCTACACTACAGCCACTAGTACCTAGCAGTGAAAGAAGTCATATAAGATAGCAACCACAACAGTAAAGAGCCATGTGAAATGAGAAGCGAGGTGCTCATTCCTTGGAAGTTTTGTTGATCAAGGATTTGTGGATATGAGGGATAACGCCTCCACCAGCAATGGTCCCTTTAATCAGAGTGTCCAGCTCTTCGTCTCCTCTTATAGCCAATTGCAAGTGCCTAGGCGTGATCCTCTTCACCTTGAGATCTTTGCTCGCATTTCCAGCAAGCTCTAGAACTTCTGCGGTCAGATATTCCAGAATTGACGCCAAATAAACTGCAGCTGTGGCACCCACACGACCATTCGCTTGGATTCTCTGCTTCAGCTGCCTATGAATACGACCCACTGGAAACTGAAACCCATCCATGCCAATTTCACAAACTTGAACAAACCAAAACGAAAGCTTAACAAACATGAAATCATTCTAGCCTGTCATGATAGTTTCAATTTCGTACTGCAATACAACGCTGCCTCTACTTTCTTTTATAACAATTTAGTCATGTTCTGGCGTTACATAGTTCAACCGAATATTGATGTCGAGTTTTGCTTTATATCATGGTAATTTATATTTCTGAAACCATTGATTTGTACTCATTTGACATCAACACAGTCTGAATTTTGCCAAAGTGAATCACACAATATCGACGGTTTCGACACGAGACAAATTAAATTAAAACTTAGATTAAAAAAAAATGTAACAAACTCCACGGCAATAGTGCTTCAAATAAGTAACCTTGCTAGAAAAATATCCTGCGCTCGAACAGATTAAAGATAATCTCTCTAAATCTAGCTTGCGTTTGGCAGCGCCAAGCCAAAATTTTGTGGTTACTGATAAGCTCTAGGCACACTAGGAAGGGCAGCAATTGAGAATGGGACACGTTGAGAAGGTAGAAATGAGGATAAGTAGAACCAGATCTGGGTTGGTATACGAAATGGTACAAGTCAATTTGAACACTATTGGCCATTAACAGCAATTAAAGCAAATTGGCAATCGACGTCAGCGATTTATAATGATATGGGCATCCAAAATGGGTAAAGCGGTGGGAGGGATGGGGATTACCTGGATTCCGGCACGGGATGAACGGGAAACCGGCTTTTTCTTATCCTTATCCTTGTCCTTGTTCGCAGCTGTGGTTTTCGCAGCAAGAAGACCCTTCCCACCTTTTCCCGCCATTTCCTACCTGCAGATTAAGTACGCAAGCCATTTCAGAACTCGGGAAGCGTCGGGAAAAAATGATAATAGTAATTAAGAAAACAGGGCAGCATAAGTAGATCTTGGCCCATAAGAGAGCAAAATGGACGAGTTATAACAACACAAAATGATGCCGAGGTATACAAAAGCCAGAAAATTAGAGCATATAATTGATAAGGTGTTTACTGAATAATAATTAGCCACACACAGGGAAATCGCAATAGAAAGACTGGAAAATAGACCAGAGGAAAAAATCAGGAAGAACGGAAGATAAATGTTTTGAAGATTCCTGCTCGGTCATAAGGGATAGTGAATTGACGACGGCCGGATGGAAACGCAAAGTGTGATGTGACAACCCGGCATAGTGAATGGACAATTTTTTTTTAAAAAAATAAAAATAAAGGGTTTGACAGTTCAACGCCCACAGACATGTTTCTTCGAAAGAAGAAAATATAAGGACAGACCAACACAGAGAGAATCGGAGCAATACCTGAGAGTGGTGGGACGAAGAGAGGAAAAGTGAGGTGAGGAGACGGAAGAATGGGGAAGAGACTTTAGATAATTGGTGCGTTACGGCTTTAAGGTTTGATGAGATGGCATTTAATGCGGAATCCGTCCCTAGAAATGGCGTTCACTTGCGTGGGAATTCAACATTTCATTACGAATTTCAAAGACGTTTAATAAAACGCTATTGACTTTTTGAGAAGACTGGGCTTTTCCTTCGGCCTCTCTGGATGAATTTGGGTCGTCCAATAGCAAGTCCATCCGTTGGTGGGCTAAGCCCAGATACAAATTGATGAAACCATTGTTGATCCATGGACTATAAACCATCCAATGATACCCGTACCCAGGGTATGGAGGAGTTCCAAAGCTCTTATTTTGCAGTCCTGTTGTTTGCTGCAGGATGCTTCATTATCATTGGTTCGATACAGGAAAAAGAATAAAAGATGCTCTCTTCAAAGTGAAAGGAGCACGGAAACTGAAGCTAAAACACCTGCAAGCGCACTGGAACTTGGCTTTAAAACAGAGCATACCTAATCGTTTAGTTTAACATGGAAGGTGACTCATTAGACATGGACCAGAATTCCTCAAATACAAGTGAAACAGTATCGGTTATGCACTACTATACTTTGATATCAATAAAAATGTATAAAAAGAATAAAAACACCCTGAAAATAGCAAAATGCTTGAGATGGTCCGCAAAGTTGAATGAATTTTGGTATGTGGGAAAATGGACAACAACGTGAGGATGGTTTGGGGAAATATGCCACGGGACGGCATGAAGACGGGAACTCACGGGACCACAGTGAGAATTCAAGTTTCTTTTCTTTTTTTGTTTTAAACAGTTCTGCCCCCCGGGAAACTTGCCAAACTCTTCCATTTCCACTTTCCATTCGTGAAATTAGATGCTTTTTCCTCCCACTTTTGCCGCTTTTCTTTTCAGCGAATCGACTTTCACAGGCAGCGACCGTGCTCTTAGTCACAAGCTCTACCCACAAGACCTGCCAAAATGAATGCTCTAGGCTCAACGGCCAACTTTCTTTCTAAAATAAATGTTTACTGGTACATGGGACCGACGCGCATTTTCGACCCATAATAACATGTTGCTTTCACCTTTATCTTCCCTTGTTGCTTTCTCTTTCTCGCTTGTGTTGTGCCCTCATCACCCTGTTAGATTCCCACCGTCTATATTTCTCCAATCCTTTCAGTATTAATCTTCATGAACAAGGCAAAGATAAAGAAAATCTTGAACACGTGTTCTCCGAGCCTCTGCTTTTTGTTGCCATCTATGGGACACAAACGCGTCTAGCTGCTCATCCGTGGCCCCGCTGGTGCTAAAGCACGTAGAAAATTAAACTCCTCTTATTTCTGTCCTTTTCCTTTTTGATTGACTAATACGATTTCAGTAGCTTTGCTGGCATTTTGGTGAAGTAAAATTCCTGCGCAGTGGTGGAGGAGTCAAGTGAAAATATAATGTTAGTCTGGAAAATTATAGAACTGAAAGCGACAGCGACATTGGAAAGGAGGATAGATTGAGAAGGAAGACTCGAGACTAATGGAGATAAAGAACAACGTGATTTTTCCTCCGCTTCCAAATAACAGTGATTCATTGATGTTTGCTTTTACCTAGCGAGCTGGTTTGTCTTTGGGCCTTGTCACTTTAACCCCAATTACAAAATGTCACAGTAATTAATTTTTAGGAGAATTATATCCAAATCTCACACAAAAAAAATTAACTAGCATAAGACTTAGCGATAACTGAATTAAAAAAATTAACAATATAATTAATTGTCAATAATAATTAATTTTTATATAAAATTTTAATATAATTCTTCCTTAATTTTTTTTAGGAAATTTCAACATAATTTTTTCAAATTAGAATAAGAAACTTTTAGTTACAGTGATGATAATTTTAAATTTTTCCTTTCTTTATTCAGAGAAACAGTTAATTTGATAGATGTTAAAAGAATTGTTTAACTTCGGGTATGTCTAGGTAATTCATTTTTAATGTTTTGAGAGTTTTTTCTTCACCATTAATATGTGAACTGTTGTTTGCTTTTAAAATGTTATGATTTTAATCCAGAAAAAAATTTATATATTTAGCTTTATATATTTAATTAAATCATGACACTATATTTTTTACAAATCATTTATTCTATGGTGAAATCTTGCCATTAATTTTATTAACACATCAAGATTTATTTGTTATGATTTAATTAGATATAAATATATTATACATATATAAAGCTAGGTATATATTCATGCTTGCCCTTTAATGTAAGTGAGCTTTTGAGCTATTTAAAACCTTACTCCCTCCATCTGAAATTACAAGACACTTTTATTCTTTGTTTGAATTGGGAGCAAAGCTTGAAAAAAAAACTAAAAAGAAAATATTATTACTCCTTATATATAAATGGACAAAAAAAATAAAGGGAAGAGAAAATAAACAAATATCGTAGTAACTATAATACTCTTATATCAAAATACTTATGTTATGAAACATAATTTCATAACAAAATTTAAGATTAATATATACTCCTTCCATCTATAAAACACACACACACCCCCCTCCCTAAATATATACTCCAAGTTTTAGACGCAGGGTATATTAATGTGTATTCCTTCTTATCAAACTCAACATTCATAATCAAATTCGAATAGCATAATTTAAGAAGGTACTTAAAAATTACACTAATACTCTTTTTGGTTTACTTTATTGGTCACTTTTTAAAAGGGTAAAGTGGTTTACTTTATAAATCATTAAATTAATAATAATATTTTATTTCAAATGAAATGTTTAAGCTATCCTTAAAAAGTGAGAGAAAGAGAGAAACAAACAAAAAAATAATATTATATAATTTATTTACTTATTAAGAGCTATGTTTGTTACTAAATTTGATTTCTTGTATATTTATTGTATTGGTATTAATGAAATTGATAGAAATGATTTATAAATAGAACTTGAAGGAGTACTAGGTTAATTCTAAATAAATCTAAATTAAAGATTACACTTCAAAATCAAGGCTAGAAATATTCCCGTGTCCTCGCCATCCCACGCATGAATGAAATATGCTTCAATCGTGAGAAAATCAAATTCAAAGATCCGAGAAGAGAAACGTATGGGGATTCATAAAAAAAAAAAAAAGAACAAATCCATCATTTTGGTGTGTTTGTGTGAAGAAGATAAAATTGAAAAAATAAGATAAAATAAGAAAAAAAAAATGAGCAGATTGGGAAGAAGAATGAAGAAGTCTGTCCAACAACAATTGAGTTCAATTGTAGCTTTATCCTACTAATTGAGTTCAATTATATAAATTATATAATATCATTATATCATATTATTTATCAAGCTTTTGAAAATATTGCTAACTAAAAATTCTCGTCAGCAACTTTTAGATGTATTGTTTTTGACTTTTTTTCACTTCTCTTGACAAAACTTAAAATTTTTCATTTTACTCTCTTCACCGGTGCCTGCTACAGTCTTTTTTGCTTATATTTAAATCATTTCAAATGATTTTATATCATTTTTTTTCAACAAATGCTATAACCACTTTTTTAAGTATCCATTCATTGGGGAGAAAAATGAGTAAAGATGATGACATTGAGGAAGAATAATGCAGACAATGTCAGTGAGGGTGCCCGGGTAGAGGAAGAAGAACAACGCACTTGAGTGGAAGACGACACTGCTACTTGGGTTGAAAAAGATGGGTCTCCAATAGAAGGTTCAAAAACAAATATGATGGCTCTCGCGCATTTCTTTCCCTCACTTTTCCCTCCCCATCCTGGCAAGAAAAAGGTTATTTTCTTTCATTTTCTTTTTATATTTATCCTCAACCAAAAAGATCATTAGATAAAAATACACTTATTAACATAGTTTGTTAAATAAAATTGATAACTTTTTTAAAATATAAATATAAATTTCAAAAAAAGTCTTTAATTTGATATTCCATTTATGAAAAATATTAAAGAAAAAATATAATGAAAAAAATAATATTAAAAAAATATCATTGATAAAACATTATTCTTGTCAAAGTGCATTATATCATGGGACTGCAAATCTCTCAAAAATATCTCATAATTCGAAGGGGAAAGATTTTTTATTTATTATAAAAAGTGTATTTGAATTTCAATTGGGAAAAATTAATTAAATGAACACAATGATGTTTTGATAATATTTTTAAAAATTTATCTTGTAAAATCGACTTGCCAGGTGAAGGAAAAAAAAGTTTCTGTAAAATAGGGTTTCAGGAACCAAACAGAGCCTTGGAGAACTGATGTTTGGATGATTTTTTTCATAATCATGATTTTGAACCCATAATTGATTTTAGAGAAACAACCAAACATGTTTATAAAAAAATGTTAAAAACGCATAATCAATACCTGCTTGATTAAATTTGTGCCTAATCGTCGACTTGTTTAATGAGAGTCTCCATCGTGAATCGATCCAATTCACAACAGTAAGTGGAATATAGTGTAGAACTATCAGGAATAACTTGTCTGAATAATTGAGAATGGGATCAAGGAATAACTTGTCTGAATAATGAGAATGGGAGGAAAAATGAATTCTCGTTGCCTCGTTACGTTGCAGATAATATATATATATATATACATATATTCTTTTCGTTAAAAATATAAATATTTTTTGAGAAGTTTGATGTTTAAAAATATAAAACATTTTTAATTTTTTGAGAGATAATCATTGCCTTTTTTTTAAAGTGCCGAATTTATATTTATTGTAAGGTATTTAATAAGATTAAATATAAAAAAATGGAGTTAGTTAAAAAGTAAACAACTATTTAACTGAGGTGGGATGCGATTAAAAATATCTTATATTTTAAAAAAAAAGTAATACATAATAATTGCTATGAGTGGGTTTCTATAATCTGAATACATTAATTTCTGTGCAGGGCCTAAAGTCCAGATCATTGTCTTTGATGTTGTTTTAAAAATTTAACTGATTATATATGTCTTTGAGATTGTTTTAGCGGTAAGATTTATATTTTGAATTAAATTTAGATTTTAAACACATTTACACTTTAAAGCTTCAATAAGCTATCATTCATTCGGATTTTTTGGGTCGATGTTGATCAACAAACGTTTTAGAAATTAAAACAGTCAAATATGGGTAACAGTACAACACACAGTG